GGTTTCTGGAAGCTTCTTTGTAGAAGTTTCATACTAGAAGCTTTTAGAATCTTGCCTCTTTCTTAAATCTTATTCTAGGTGCTTCTTTCATCGCTTAGAAGCTTTCTCTAAAAGATGCTTCGAGAATTTTCCTTTAGAAGCTTGAAAGAAGAAACTTCTTCTGGAAGCTTATTTCTAGAAGTATCTTCTAGAAGCTTCTTTCATCGTTTAGAAGATACTTTTAGAAGCTTCGTTTAGAAGATTCTTTTAGAAGGTTCCTCTAAAAGATTCTTCGAAAGGTTTCCCTAAAAAAAGTAGGGTTAGACTGGGAAAAATGAGCACCCTTTGTTCACTTGAAAAACCTTATATTTTTAGAAACTTCACATACGTACCTTACAACAATGATTCTAAGATACAATGTTCCAAAAATTAACGGTGTAAATACACTGTTCGAATAAGTAGTGTAAATTTCTGTTCAATATTATGCACATAAATGGAGCGTCACATATCATATAAGTTTACATTATATATCATGTCAGAACTTGACATTTCATGCAATTTAGCATATATTGTATACAAAAGCCCATCTTTGTAAACAACATTGTTTACAAGTTGCTCGATTACGTGAAATGAAATTTAAGTTTACGTGAATGAATGTTTACATCACAATTCAAATTCAGAATTTTTATCTGTGTAGTAACATTTTTTTTTCAATATTTACTACATTGAATTGCATCAACGCGTACACCGTATGAAAGAATCATCTAAATTTCTGCGATGTATAGCGCGCAAGTTTTTAACGCTAGATTTGGCGTAATTTTACATGATATTTAATGTAAATTTAAGCGCAATATCGCATAAGTCGGCATTATTGCATACAAGCTTGTAAGGAATTCCCATGTTTATGCCAACTATAGCTCAAAATTAAAAGAGAGGAGATTTTACGTGACAGTTCAGATTTTTCTGTGTAGGTGCTAGAAAAGACATGGAAAAGCTAGGGTAGGGGATCATGCACTCTTTACGTAAGATTTTTTTATCCCAGCTCCTCTTTAGTAAGATTTTACATCGAAAGTGATGTTCTGTATTCTTCATGATTTTGTAAGGTATTCTGAAATTCCCGCCTCCCTTGTAAGAAAACGTAAGAAAATGTATTTTCTAGATTAAGAAATATATAAATCACGTCATAAGTGCATGGTCCCTACGCAATGTTTCAATGTTTTAATTGCAATTGTTGCATATAAAAATGAATGTCAATCTTAGGGTGGGCGTTTTGCCCCATCTACCCCTGTAACGGATTTTCTTGGATTGTTGATAATTTTCACCAAAAAATCTAGAAAAATAAAAATGGACCGGAAGAAAAATTACTTACTAAATTTACCAATTAATTTAAATTTACGTACTTCTACGTCAAGACCAGTGTTGTGTTCTTACGCTTATAACATAAATCACACATAACCAGTGGAAAATATTCATGTGAATTTCACATGATTGCTCACATATAATTTATTGTGTTAGGGTTAGGATCTAATTTCCGTCATACTGAGCACAACTCACACTTGACCCCTTTTTTTCAAATGGGTTTGAACAAAACATTGAATGACTTCTAAATGTATTTACCTTTCCATACGTCCATTAGTACTTTTTAAACTAAATTATCGTATCAAATGTATGAGTGACTCGTTCACATCGAAATTTAAGGGCGTAGCCAGGATTCGAGCTAGGGAGGGGCGAAAAAAAAATTACTATAGAAAATTTAACCAAATGCCATTTCACCGAACGCCATATCCCGAAAGCCTTTGTGTTGCTGAGTTTAATGTTGCCCCTCTCTGTCTACGCCTATGAAATAATTGATATATTAGATGTTTCTGCTCTATATGACGGAAATGGGTGCTTATACCGAACTCGTTCTCTACCCTTTGTGATATTCAGATATAAATCATTAATTTTGTTATTGGAAAATATTATGTGCGTTCCTAATAGAAACTATGTAAAAAATTTGTTCAGTGTACACCGGAGTCGCTTTTCACACGTTTTTTTATGCGGATTTCGGAATTTACGTTGTTTTTTTAGGCGAATTTAGGAATTTACGCGGATTTCGGAATTTACGCAGTTTTTTTACGTGCATTTCGTTATACACTGGAGACGCATTTTACGCGGTTTTTTACACGGTTTTTTATGCGGATTTCGGAATTTACGTTGTTTTTTAGGCGGATTTCGGAATTTACGCGGGTTTTTTTTACGCGGATTCCGGAATTGACGTGGGTTTTTTACGCGGATTCCGGAATTTACGCGGTTTTTTTTACGCGACACGTATCACCCTCGTAAAAAGCGACTCCAGTGTTCATACAAACACCCTTAATTTTTTATGAGTAAGGGCCCCACCTTACCTGCTCGTTTGGAACACTATTATGTAAAAATCGTTCTAACTTCGAGATAACAGTAAATTCATCAAAGCTCTGCGAGAGAATGTTATAACCCTTGAATTAGGGATCCGAAACATATATGGAATTCGTTTGATTACAAATGCTTGGAAGTTTGAGATATTTTAATTTTTTTAATCCAACTTTTACCCCACCTTATCTGATATCTGGAGGTTTAGCTAAAGGCGTATCCAGGATTCGAAATCGAGAGAAACATTTGTTTGATGATTGAGCGTTAGTCCGAAGGCAATTATACGTGAAATTTAACTACTCATCCATCTCAAGTAACATTTGCGGTTATGTTATGGTCTTATAAAAATCCAATATCTCGAATATTTCTCTTAGAAGCTTGAATATTTTCACAAGTCCGGGGCACTGAAAAATATGTCCAAGTCTAAGATATCTTAAGTTTTGCAATGCCCCAAAGAAATTTGAGAATTTCCTTAAATGATTCCATTCAAGTGAGAAATCTGAAAAGGATTTTCGCCTCAGACCATCGAAACCTCAAAACTTGTTTGATGGCCGGCAGTTTAAATATTTCTGTTAGTTTTAGGTCTTGTCTGGAATATTGATTTTTTTTTCGTCTAACGTTGTTGTAATTACGAGATCTCATGAAGTCGATTTGATGAAATCCAAAAAAAATCAAACTCTTAAAATCTTGATACAAAAATGTAAACCCTGGATCCATAACAGTCGCAGATTTTTCTGCAGAACACTTTAGGAATTCCCTCCAGAAAACTTTTAAAATTTACTCTTCAATGATTTTTATATTTTCTATAATTCTCACTAGAATTTGTCCCCCTCCTTAGTTTACTTTCAAATTCCCATTGAATAACGCTCAATCTAATGATTGATTTTGGTCAGAAAAAAATACCTTTCCAAATACAATGTGCTAAATTTTACAATAGAGTATCATATCAACATGCTGATGGTGATAGAACATTGAAAATTATCTATGAGTGAAATTTAGTTTTTAAGTATTATTTTTAGCGCAGATGTCAAAAAATCCTCTTTGAAGTAGAATTCACGAATTTCCTACAATTATTCTTCGAGATTATTTTGGGTTTCAATGATACACAGAAAATCTCCTCTCGTTTAATTTTGAGCTATAGTAAGCATAAACTTCGAAATTGCTTACAAGCTTGCATACAATATTGTAGATTTATGTGAAATTGCGCTTAAATTTACATGAAATATCGTGTAAAACGTGTTCATATACGAATCAGGGATCGTTTAAGCACTCGCACAGCACGACCCCTCGTTTAATTTAAAGCTAAAGTTGGCATTACAAGCTTGCACATAACATCGTTGATTTATGCGATATTTCGCTTAAATTTACATGAAATATTGTGTAAATTTACGGCAAATATAGCGGCAATAATTTGTGTGCAATATATCGCAGAAATGTACATGAATTTTTCATACGGTGTAGTTCTATTTTAAAATTGTAAAATTGCTGATGTTGTAATGTGTGCAAGCAAAAGTTCATAATAAAAGCACACTGCACGTCTCTTTCGGATTGAGATGTGCAAACACAGAGTTGTGTACCTACTCGTCGGAGATGTATGCGAATCTGTCGTTTTCTGTCTATGATGATAATAAAGCCTAATAAGAGAAAAAAAATAAGCTTACGTAGTTTATTTATACTTAGTCCCAAAGTGAATACCTTCAGTTTTTTGGACTTTGGTTTGATTTATTAATGACAATATTATAGTAAAGTAGATGTACCCGTTATAGCTGTACGTTCCTATTATGGTAAGTTCCAATTATGGCCTAAGGGGATTACTTAGGCCATAATTGGAACACACCATAATAGGAACGTATGTCCACTGGTACACTTACCCTAACAGAATCGTCATATCAAAAAGTGAATCGTGTCTCAAAAAGCTTGAAATCCTCTGTTATAGTGGAAATGCCGGCATCGGTAATCCCTTTACGAATTATCGTCAGGCGGTAAACAAAATCCGCCAGCACTCAAATTTGGCCAATCTATGCTCTGAAACTTTAAGTCGTTAATTACCATATTTCATTTAATTTACATAACGTAAGAATTCAAGAACGGAATTTTTTTTCCCTGAGCCAACACCATAAGTCGGCCGACTGTTCTGGTCTATGATAAAACAAGTAACTCAATACAGAGCTAAAAAAGGGCCTAACAGCTTACGTAAACAATGACTTTTTCCAGCTCTGTATCGAACTGATTACTAAAACAATAATGTGAGTCTTCCTTCGTTACCTTTAAACCACACCCAACTAAATTTGTACCCACCTGACAAAGGACTAGTGAACTCCAGCAATCCCAACGGACAAACGTTTACTCAATCCTCCAAGACGATCTCTTCGTCCGTGTGCTACCCCGCCTCGACCCTTTCGTGCCTCATCACACATCTCATTTCCAACTACCAACACAACCACCAGATAGCCCGCTACGTCCACCACAAACCACCCATGCCCCCCCCCCCCCACCCTCGCCCCTTTGTCCGCCCCAAACCCATTCATTCATCGTAATGCCTGGCCTGTTTTCCCCCCTACGAACCGCAAATCCTTCTTCTCTCTACCTAACCGGACAACTTCCTCCTTCTCTCTCTCCTTTCCCAACAGCGTCGAACTGCAGAAGGCGAACCTGGGCGATGAAGCTGCCGCCTCTGGAACCGCCAGCACCGGTAGCTCGGTGAATCCACTGCTCCAGAATTCCAGCGGCAGTACCGGCTCGAGCAACACGGCGGGCAGCTCCAGTTCTGCTTCCGTGGCGAGTGCCAGTGCCATCGCGAGCAATCCGCTCGCTTCGGCCATTCCTTTAGCGCAGCTGCTCTCCAAACCTGGTGCGCTGAATGCCCTGACCAGCCTGTCGGCCCTCGGTGGACTGTCCGATCTGCTCGGTAATCTGTCCAGCGGGGCCACCGGCGTCGGGCTGACCTCCATTCAGACCACCGGTGTCAATCGACCGAAAACGACCCGGATGCGATCCCCGAACAGCAACACCAGCATGAACGGTGATAGCAATAAGAAGAGCGAGCGCAATAAATTTAATCCCTACTAGAGTGGGGTTGCTCCCGATGTGTAGTAGAAGTAGCCAGGAAGTAGGAGAACGGTCGCGGAGCTTAAAAGTAACTTCCGATAAAATGCAGCAGCAGGAATCCTGCGCGCGAATATGTGTGTGTGTACGTTAGAGTAGAAAGCGTAGGGACAAAGTTTAATTGAGACGACACTTTGGATGAAAGTCGTTTTTGCTCTTTTCTGTTGAAGAAGAGAATCGGAGAAAGTCAAACATGAATTTATTATAGAGCACTGACGATTGGAAGAAAGGTTCTTTTTTACATTTTGTCAAATGCGCTTCGCATACCTGCTCCAGCTATAAACCGAAGATTCCCAGTCAGAATCCGGTTGGGGCTTGGCAGACTGAAGCAGGCGAGATAAAACATTTATTTATAGAATTTAATTCAATTAAGATTTAAAATAGGATCACGATCAGCAGCCGACGGCAGTGAAGAGAATCGTAGAGACAGGCGAAGGCAGAGTCGTTCGAGCTTTCAGTTTTTTTTTTTTTTTTTTTTCGTTTGTTTTACTCAGTACCGTTTTGATTCTATTATTACTATTGCAAACAGCATACCTAGTAGCATGCTGAACCAACAGTAGAGAGGCAGTCATCCAGCAGAAGTAGAGACTCCAATTGCGTTTCGGAGAATTTGATGGCCGCATGCTATAACTATATTTAGTTCCGTCGCGAAATGGTTACAGATTCCTTTTTTGCCATAAGCACGCTGGCAGAATGCGCGCCGTGCTAAAATTAACCGAACTGTCACTGAAAATTCTACCCCGGTCGGTGATACGTTCTCGAAAGAACATTGTAATTTACAAATTTATTTTGTAACGCTTTTGGTTCTAATTAATGATAAACTACGTTATACATTTACCGAATCACACAGTGCTCATTTTGCGGCAAATGTTGGCTCTTTAGAATGTAGATTTCTGTAGGTGTTGAAAACGAATTTGACGTTTCAAGGAAAATGTAGTGAGTTATAGTTTTTGAATAAATAGTTTGGTATAAGGTTGATCTGGAGATTAGAAATGCAAAAATAGTTGTAGAGGAATGGCTTCTAAATTAAAACTCACTAGGATTGGCTTTCGAACTGAACACAAGGGATGCTCGCTTACATGTCTTTAAGGACAAGGTTGATAGATTCCACAAATGGCCGTTATCATCAACCATGATAGCGGCCACTTGTGGATTCTACCTATATTGTCCATAAAATATGTTTCTTTGATCATTTAACTTCTAAAAACCATTACTCTACTCCAAAAATAATCAAATATTTAGGTAATCTTAAACCTTCGTATTCTCACTAGCTAAGAACCAAAAACAAAATCGCAATTGATACGAAAATTCTTCCTTATGGCTTAAAATGACTAGCCAATAAGCTCCATCGCAACGAACAGGGCTCATCCCCTACCAGTATCTTCCGTGGCCTGGGATACCGCTTGGCCCGGAAGGTATTTGGCTTTAACTTTTCATCCTCGTTGCCATTTCCTTTATAGGGGCTGTGATGAATGCCATCATGCAGAACAGAGTTCATATCAGAAGGCGAACGAATCGTACGGATCCATCACAGCATCATCAATATGAATTAGACGAGAGCCACGTTGCTTTGAAAACTCGCCTCATTTGACTTCGTTTTTTTTGTTTGCAAAAGCAAAAAAATGGAATGATTTTCAACGCAAGCACATCAAACATTCCCGTCGTTCCGATGAATGATGAATGAGAGGAAATCTGTGAATTCCGCCCCAACACCCATCGACGGGCATCAGGTGCCATTGGAAGTCGGTCTTTAATGAGAAAAGACGCTAAACAAGAAAAAAGGAAATCATTAAATCTCGAACCTCGGTAACAACGAGCCGCTTTGGAGGCGTCGTGGAATGCGTTGCAGCAGTGATCAATAATTCGATCCTAATCACATTAATCCAAATTAGTCGCCCGTGTAATCTGACGCTTTCGGGTCGGGTGTGCGTTCTTTCATGCGCGGCGAGAGACGGGGCGTAAAGTTTTGTCGAGTTGGTACCTTTTGCATGCCTCCTCAGAACAGAAGAACCGGGAAGGGATCCGGGAATGTGGTGCCTGTTTTCTAATCTTTTTCGCATCATTCTCTCATTAAGTTGATTAACTGTTTTAATTATCTGCTCCTTCTTCGGTGCCGCCGAAGGCTGTTGGTGTACGACAAGGGGTTGCTTCAGGATGCCACTATCGCTGTTGTTCGAATATGAATGGGATGTGGAAACATAAAAAAATTGAATTATTGAAGCATTATTGAATATTTAATGAATTTGATGTTTTAAAACCATTCCTGTTTGCTTATCCGCGGTGATTGGTTTAGCAGGTTATATCGTTATTATAGTTTGAAGGAAATCCGGTGCATTAGAACGGAATTGTCCCTATTGCCTTGAATGGTGTAATCTATCTTTATGAACAATGGCATCAAATAACTTGATTTCATAACGGAAATGTTCCAAACTAAAATTACATAAGGTTTGTAGAATGTTAACTTATGTTTTAACGAAGACATCATATCAAGAAGACTGGCAACTTTCCAGAATACAGTAGTTGTGGTTGAATGACTGAGCAATGATATTCGTATAGGGTGGCTTTTCAGTCTCGCCAAAATCTAAATCCTGTTATTTTTGTTTGGTCCAAAATAAAAGTAAAATTTTGATTTTGCCGAGTCTGAAAAGCCACCCTAAATGAAAAAATAATACGCAGCGGAAGCAGTTCTAAGAGTAAAGAGAAAATATACAAACCAGTCTGCTATGAGTTGCCAGTCTGCTTAATATGTTGTCTTTGGTTTTACGAAGTATGGGTCAACTTCAGAGGAACATTTCCAAGTCAATAGCAAAGACAAATTAATTTAAGACTCGACCTTCTCCGATTTGCCTGAAACTTTGAATTATTATTTGTAATGGTCAATCATTCACATTTAAGCTAAAATTCGGCCATTTTGAATAGGTCAAAAAATGTCAAAATGGTGTATTCAATATTTTTCAACAAAATTTGATTATCATAACTCCAAAACGTCACTTCCAATCGTAATGACGTCTGAGACAAAGTTGTAGGAAAAAAATATTGTTTTTCAGGAAAAATATACACGGTAAAAAAGTGATTTTGAGTTAAAAATTAAAAAAGGGATTTTTTTTATATTTTTCTTATTGGTTGTCTTTATTAAGAAGAAAACGGTTTAATCTAAATATACGTTTTCTTTGCAAAATTTCACAAAAAAAAATTGATACAGCAAACATTTTAAAAATTTGCCCCAACTTTGTTGCTCAATGATTTTTGTTAATTTTTAAGTTTTTTTTAACTTTATTAGCGAGATTTTTAGCTGGCTAGTTTATCTCGTTTGATTTTCAAGTGTCCTACTTAATAATTCCACAGAAGCTACCATTTATCCTGAGTATGTTGATGATTTTTTTTAAATATTGAAAATTATACACCACCCAAAACTACTTAACAAATTCGAATTCGAGTTATGATTTGTTGAAAAATATCATATACATCGCGTCAGATAGGAACTACCCTGAAGCCTTTCTGTTTTACTATAGAGAGCTTGCATGAACTCTAGACATCCTATGAGTTGATTACAGAGGTCTAACGGTTTAAATCTAAAGGTCTTACAAATCATGGGTAGAGGCCTTCCTTTTTTATATAGAGGTATGGAGTAGTGATGCACCGAATAGTGCTATTCGACCAGGTACATAGGGCGTTTACATCAAAACGTTATCTGATATTCGGCCTTTTCTCACCTAGAAAGTGGCCGATAAAGTGTTTGATCGAAATTTCATGGTGGAAAGGTTGATATTCGGTCTAAGTATTCGATCAAACATTTAGTGGCCGAATACTTGGTGCATCACATCACGGTACAAGAGTAATTTTCTCGGACTTATGGGCACTATTATGTAAGTCGCTTCTCACTTCTCTTCCGGTCACTAGTCTATTTTGGTATTAAAGAAGTAATACCAAATAAGACCAGTGACCAGAAGGGACGCTCGCCTCGACTTATATAATAGGCCCTTTCTCTTAGATCGACCCTAAATTCAGATATCAACTTCAGAAACCTTCAGAGGCCTTCTTAACAAACTTTTATGATTTTTGGTAAATTTCTAAGATTCCATTAGTCAATAAGGATTATGAGGCCGTATGGTTGATATAATCGCGATGGCATTACAAGCCTATTCCAGATATCTTGCAGTCTACACCAAAAGGCTTCATGGGTAGACTCCAAATAAGTCTTAGACCAAGTCCAGATGTGGTAATATAAAAAAATCGAATGAATCAACTCTGAAGGTCTTGTAGGTTTAAGTCCAGTACGTAAGCTTTTAAGGAATTAAATAAATTTGTTACCTAAGACTACCTTCAGGGATCTTATGGGTTAACTTCAGCCTCCTGATCCCGGACTTTGAAGGCTTTATGAGATAACTACAAAGAGGTTTTATTTATCAGTCTCAGATGCTTTCCGAGCAAACCTGGAGATCAAATTGAAATCAAAATGGTCTGTTATGATGTAACTTATTTTGAATACTCCAATTTATCTCATTTTGGTTGCACCGCAATAATGAGGGCAACATGTTAACTATTGAATCAAACACAAAACTAATTCTGCTTTAAATGAAATCAATTTCATTACTGATTTTGCATTCATAATATTTAACTGAATATTGGCCTGGCGTGAATGTTTAGCATCCATGCTTCTCGCGCTGAAAGACTTGAGTTCAAATCTCGACCCGGAGTAGTCACGAATGACCTGAAATGTGTTCAACAAAACAATTAAACAATAATCATTAGTTCAATTTTCAACAAGACATTAACAGCAGAACTTGAAGTTAAGCTGCTCTCTTGTAAAAAAACTGAAAGCACAATATGTAATCAGACTTATTTCACTACAATTAACATCAAAATGAGTCTCAATTATGATAGGAACTGCAAACTTTAATATCGATTGGCTTTCATTTTGTTAATTGACTTTGCTCGGGTTAAGAGTCAGGCCTGAACATACTCATTATAGCTTAAATACTACTTTTCGAAATTGTGAAACTATGAGATATTATATTAATATTTTTTATATGTAAGATGCAAGAAGAGGAGGTAAAATTTGTATATGACACATAAAACCAGTCAATTTTGCTTTCAGAGAGTCACACTTACCTATTTAAGCTGTAATGAGTAATCGTCATGAGTGAGTACTATTCGTTATAGCTAATCGCTAATTGTGACACTCTAGAAGCGAAATTGACAGGTTGTATGTATTATACACAAACTTTACCTCCTCTTCTTGCATCTTACAAATACAAATTATTAATATAATATCTCATAGTTTCATAATTTCGAAAAGTAGTATTTTAGTTGTAATGATTATGTACAGGCCTGGTTAAGAATCAGACCTTAAAAGGGTAGTTGAGAGGAATTATTGATGATCTTCAGTCAGCTGCAGAGGTCTTAACTTCAGATATCTTATGGATCAACTAAAAAGTAAACAGTCCGCACTTGGTGTGATGCGTGTAATGGTAACACCCGAAGTCAACACACCAAAATCTAATTATTCACTCCAACGTGTAATTTGTGAGTACTGATGCCTTAAAAGCTACAGGCCTTCATTCACCGAAGGAACATAATTTGTGCTTGGTGGCCTCAAAATTGGTTCTGGAATGCTGAACTCCATCGTCGTTGACAAATTCAAGAACACAAGTGAAACTGGGTAGACCACAGATGGACCGAAACAAACCTAATGAGTTAGCGATGGATTGTAATCCGGCATGCTATCGCAATTGAGGCAGACCCTGCGAGTCAGGAAAAGGCATCAGCCCCTGAATGTGCCTCTGTTGCAATGTCCTGTCGGGTTTCAATCCAGCGTTTGCTAGCAGATTTCATTTCCGCCCATTCGTAGTGTGTAGCCGACCGACCTTCACTTACATTAATATATGTTAATATCAGTGGCGTTTCGTTAACCTCAATCTACCTGTGCACCAACTCCCAAAACATAAACAATTATCAAAATATTGCTTGCAATGGATTGATATCGAGTGAACTAGAAGATTAAGTGTATTTTTCAACCGATTCGAGTATGAATATGGCATTAAATCTGGTTTTGAAAGTTGGTCCACAGGTAAAAAGTGAGGCTACGGGACGCCACTGGTTAATATCAACTCCTGATGACATCGATGATCGAGCTCGGCATTTGAGATTCAGTTGTCAGGCTGCCAGGTATGAATTATATTCCGCAGGCAGGTTTTGAGTGGTCTCCACTGATTCGCACCACTGACTCGCTGGTGTGTAACACTTCCCAAGCAACACATATGTTCTGTAACAGTTTGTATAACCTCTGTATGACTGATTTTGGTTGTATAGCAGTTTGCTCAATATAATTCTATGAAGTTGTGTTACTTGGGTTCAGATTTCACAACTTTCTGATTTTAGTGCATTGATGCACTTTTTTGATCTCCAAATGTTGCCTAAACTCGCAAAGGCAGAAGTGCTTTATTCCGCAGTAAAGGGTGGAGTAGGATTTTTAGAAATATGTCCGACACTACGAAGTATCAAGGTCTATGGATGTATAATAAACATCACAAGGAGTAGGAAATGGGGTGACAACAAACTTGAACTGCCTCACTTGACGTCACTGATATAAACCAGCTCATAGTTAAATCCAGAAGCCTTATGGATCAACTGATTTTATGGGTCAACTTTGCATGTATTGTTGAAACGTATTGTGTCACCACCACCATCCAAATGGGATACGTCCGAAGGCCTGATATCGATCCATCACAGAGATTTTGGGTCATCTTCAGAGGTCTTGGGTATCTTATTACAGGATCAACTATGGTTAGAGGTTATATTCAAAAGCCTTATGGGTCCAATCTATAGGTCTATGCATAATTTGCAGAGAGTTCTTGGACCATCTTTTAAAATCTTACGGGCTAACTTTAAAGGCTTTATGTTTTAAATACAGACACAAGTCAATTCTGAAAGTCGTAGTGCTTAGGAATTGTTGAAAAGTTTGTATGAACAACTGTATAAGCAGCGGGATTAAAATCGCTCAAAAATTATCTACGTATTTGATGGACAGCCTCTTTTGGGTCAAATCCGGAGATCATGATGACTCATGTTTAGAAAATCTTATGGAACAGGATGTCTCATAAGGGTAATTTCATTACGCAAACCATCAATGGGTTATCGATAGTGCTCATCGTTCGTTTTTTTTTTTGTATAATTCGTCATTTATCGTGGACTATATGACAGCATCTAAAAAGGGCAATTCATTAGGGGCGATCATGAACATTCGTAGAATAATAATGATTTCACCGCTAAACAACCGATTATGTACTTTTTCAGACAGTGAAAAGCGTGAAAAGCTGACATGCCAGTCAAAATAAGTATGGAAATGCATTATCTCTTTGAAGTAGTTGGCTGACAGGAAATAGATAATGTTGTGCTCGATTGCTGGACACTGTGGAATTGAAAGTATTGAAAAGATCGATGCTTTAGCAACACAACAATTAGCAAGTCGGCCCATCATCATTTTGAGGGATTACCAACTACACTATCAAAATGGTAGAACTTGGAAACATATAACGGTTGTGGTCAATTGGATCCCTCATATACAAACGCCTTAACTTTGACAAAACAAGAATTTCACTGTGCACTGTGAAAATAAACAAAATGCTGGACGTTTCGGAGTGGAAGAAAATGATTTATTCAAAAAAGGATATGTTTGTAAGAACTTAAACCTATGGTAATCACCGATACAATTTTCATTTGCCGCAATTATGGCCTCAGCATGCTTCCGGAAAAGGTTCTGATAATATAGTCCGAATTCATCACACTAAGATTATTTCGCAGATTTCTGTGAAATTTTACCGAAATCTCAACAGCTGAACTTGTTTACCGAAACTTCGGTTCGGTGATTTTTCACAGTTTTCCAGTAATTTTTCACAGAATATTAGGAATCTGTGAAATAATCTTAGTGTGATACCTCTTCATGCGCGGGTCAATGTTTGTCTGAGGCTTGCTGTACTGGAGTGGCGTTTGGCACAGGTCTTGGCCTTCATGACGCGCCACACTGAATAATCCAAGGGACTAAGATTGGGGATGGATGGCGTTTACATATCTTTCGGTCAGAACGGCAGATGTTCCTTCAGCTGTTCGAGGTGTGACATGGTGCCCCATTTTGCTGAAATACCACATTCGGCTCCGGTTCATATTACTCAGTAATCCACGGAAGGACATACATACTAAGAATGTCGATATACACCTCCGTATTCACTTTATCCCCTGGTGCAAACATCATCACGCATGCGGTAGACTGGAGCAAAGTCATATTTAAAGCTTCTGTAACTGAGAAGGGGCTGTTCACATTCCACGTGGACAGTTTTTAAGAAGTGCTAGACCCTCCTCCCCCTGCGTGGGCAATCATCTATATAAATGTTTAAAGCATTCACCCCTATTCTGTATTTCGTTTCGAACGAAATTCTCATACAAAAAAATATTCTTTGTATGAGAATTTCGTTCGAAACGAAATACAGAATAGGGGTGATTGTATGGACCGTGGACATTTGTCAACGCCTTCCCTAAACTCTACCCGGGTTAGGGAAACCCCGATGGTAAAACCTAGACGGGCTATTTCAATGCAAACCGAGCAGGTCTATCCCGGCCTAGAAAGGTTTGGTTTGCTAATCCCCGAAAGGTTTTAAGTTTCATGAATAGTGGTAGATGCATAAAAGCAAACGGAATTCACCACAATGGATCATCAATTTTTTTGCAGTGGTTTGGTTCTCCATCAAGCAAGGATGATAATCCGGCTTACAGAATGTACCTTGCAATGTCTAAACCGGGTACATTCAAATTCACAATTCACTCGAAATCAATATTTCAAACCGGGTGCTTGCGAGGTGACATTTTTTACTCGAATCCCATCACTTCTCAAGAGTTTCCCTGTGAATCACGGCAACCGCCGGCCGACGCGCTAGGAGGTGGAGAACATAATTCAATTTGAGAGTGTTATCCCCCTCACATTCGCCTGCGCTCGTCCAACCAGGAAAATAAAAAAAGCGTTGCTGTGACACTCACAAAGTATACCTGTGAGACCGTGGAGGCCCCACATCGTCGGTACGGTTGCCGTCGGAATGTTAGCCGATCCCGCCCTCTCCAGTTGCGCTTCGGTAATGTAATTGTAAGCAACAGAGCGGAAAGGGGAGATTCGAACGGAGTCAAAAAAAAAACATCGCCAACATATCACTTAACAGCGCACGGGATTTGGCTGTGTATCGCCATTAGAGTGTCCCAGGGGGCAAACCTTCTTCACTCTTCATTAGAACGTCAACCGAACGAGTGCGGAACTTTGACAGTGCCGAGAGGTGTTTACCGTTGTTGGTTCCCCTTGGGAGGTCACGAAAATTGGCTTCAACAACTGCAGTCAATGTTCGGGGACATTTTTTAGGAACCTATTCTTTGCAGCACTTTTGCAGACACCAAGTAAAATTGATCACCGTCCAACAAACGAGGACTGGACTGGCCAAATCTTCTTAAAAGTATCGATGCCACGTTTGTCTTTACGGTGTGGAAACTTTAAGGTCTTCCTATCAAGTCTTGAACCTCGCACGATGCTTAGTGGGAGACAAATTGAAAAATAATATTTTTTCGGCTACTCATTCCCCCGGTACGGTTAATTTTTCATCACTAAAAAGCTTAAAGCGGGGCTTCTCAACAAATGGGGAAATAATTACCCCTACCGCCAATCACCGGGAAAGAGGAAGCGAAATGTGATTTTATTTACCCTCGCTGCTTCCGTCCTTCCTGCAACGCGGGAAGCAGGGAAATTGTCCTTCACAGCAAAAAAAACTCAGGGGCAGGAGAGGTAAGGTGGAAATTATTATCTAACCTCACCCGTCGTCGTCGTCATCGAAGGGAAGCCTATGGTAAATTGTGGCGTACCTACAAGAATTTTCTTTTTTTTTTTCGTCGCCTGTTTGTACCAAGCCATAAACCGAGAGGAAATGTGCTCTTAAATTGGAAGATTAACTCGCTTTTCGCGAGGGATTTGCCACGTGTAGGTAGATCATATTTTAATGAGAGAGACAGACTCTGAGGTTCAAGTTTTCCCTGTTTGAGCGGAGGCGAAATTCGTGTGCGTACGGAAAAAAAATAAACAACCGGGAAAGTTGGTAGATGGAGGGAAATTAAAATTGTGTAAACGTCGGATTTTATGACAATTTAATGATTCAATTTGTAGCCATTTCTCCGGCACCACTGTTGTGCGCGATGCTGGTTGTTGCGTGAGCGGTGGCACTTGTAGAGGGCTACGACGACGACGACGACGATGTGCGTCCCCAAATGGACTGAGAACAATCATTTTGAATTGAGTGCTCATACTTTTATTTTTTTTTTTTTTTTCGGAATACGCTGCTGCAACTGTCATTTCCACTGACGAGGGGGGATAATCTGGTTTGATGGATGGGGATAATGTTCGTGGAAATTAATTTATTAATTTGGAAGGAATGCTTTCGCTTGGAAACAGAATACAGAAATGAATGACCGTTGGAAATGCGCAGGACGAATTAGATTCGAACTCAGGGGGGAAAATGGCAATTTGATCAAATGTTTAACTTTCAGTTTTGTTGAAAATGAAAAACGTTGATCATGCTTGAAAATTTGTGAGGAGTCAAATTTTAAGGATACATGTTTTTTAATAGTGTAGTGTGACGGTTTCGGCAATAACTTTAAGGCCTATAATCGCATATGGATTTTCGTCAATTTTGAGCTATCGACGCTATCCACTATCAATTGGCTTTCATATTATATGAAACTACGGACTTCGATCATGTCAAGTCAGTTTGTCCCCACAAACAAACTAATCGCATATAAGTCCCATTCTGAAATTCATTATATCAAAACATCAAAGCTTCATTGCATTTGATTTTACCTTGAAAAAAATATCAGTAAATTTACTATGATTTTTCAAATATTTACATGCCTAATAGATCTCGGCAAAAATTACTGAGAATTGCCGTACATAAAACTAAGTGTGTATGTAAGCCTCAATTAGTCTAGTTAGCTAAGGCGCAGTATAACCAAGCAGCAGGATGCCTGGCCCAGTATAGAAAAAAAAATCAGATTGAAAATACACATTTAATAAAAGTGAAGAGCAACTGGTGAATGTCACCTTCGGATTACCAGTATGGATGATTTACGCAACAGATGTCGCTAGTAAAAAATACGGTGATTTATTTTGCATGCACAAAATCGGATGCTCAAACGGTTCCAAATTGGGTTCTGATAAGCCTCCCAAAATTTTAATTTAATTAGTACGAAACTGACTAGGCACAAACCATTGGAAGTTTATATGCAGCATGAGAGAACCAAACTTTTTGTTCATATCTATCTTGCAATTCACCATATCGCTTTGCTTCAAAAAATGATAGCTGTGCATGTAGGAAATTTTCTCAGCTACAACTTTACTGGAGATCACTTTTCGATGAAATGTAATGAACAAATGTTAGTAATGATTCAAGTCTTTGATGTGTTATGATTATGCTCAATCAACTGTTCAATGTTGCCTTTGGTATTTCTGGCGCGTAGAATAGAGCACAAACAACATAGCTACTATTTCACACTGCAGAATACAGTGTTGGAAACAAAGCAGCTGCTTGATCATGCCATAAGATTATCAGCCTCTTAAATAATTAATAACTAATTAATTATTTACGTTTGACGATCTTTTGCAAAGTTGTAGCTGCGAAAATTTACCATAAGAATAGCTATAGAACTTTATAACAGTGTAATATGGAAAAAGGCTTGAAGGCATTGCACAAAAAGTTTGGTTTTCTCACAGTAATTTTAATATAAACTTCAAATGGTTTGTGCCAAGTCAGTTTCATACCAAATAAATTCAAATTTCGGGAAGCTAATTAGGACCCGATTTGAAACTGTTTGAGCATGTTTGTATCAGTCTAGTAGGTATTGTTTTCAAATTTAATTCTCGATTCAATTTTTCTTCTCATCATCGTGCTGTCGAAGTCTTCACTCCTTTCGGTGTGATTTTCATCATCAGCAGCGAGGATTGCCTACGTTTTGCCTGTGAGCACTGATGACATTCACTTGACATGGTTCTACGTCTCACTGTGTGACAATACATTCTGGCAGTGATGGTTAATTGGTTCGCTGGTGACTCACGTGAGTGGCGTAATATTTTACATCGCTGATCGACAGGTTTTATATGACAAACACATGCTTTGCAACCTCTTGTAACATGCAAGTAAAATATGCAATCATGACATCATAATTTCGAAAATTATGTTTATACGAAATGGCCATTCTCAAACTTCGTTGAACAATGTTGCTATTCCGTCATCAAAGGAAGAATTGCTAGTTCGACATTCGTTGTTACTAGAGACCGAACACACCTCTGCATTTTCAAGGCTGTCACGGGAAGGACGTTTTTGTTAGTTGGAAGGGTAAATTGGATCTGGATTCACTTTTGCATGTGATGGGATCTTTTAAAGCGTGATGTGATTCTTTCAATTCAGTAATGTTGAGGGGCCTTGACTAGACCCCCTAAGAGCATCTGCTCAGTTAGCAAAATCGGTCGCCACCAAGCCACTTAGCTCCTCACATCACAACAAACCACGGTTACTGACTATGCATTTGAACCAGGCTCAGACATACGTCATATTCAAACGCACTAAAATATACAGTGTTTATTTGCAACGTTTTCTTTAAAAAAAAACACGGATATCGAGGAGATATCCACTAAGTACACCAATTTTGTTATGTTGAGTCGTATTCGACTCAAGTCGGAGTTATTCTCATCGACCGTATGTTGAGGAAGATTCTTTGGAATGACAAATGCGTTGTTATGTGGTTTTAAATCACTCAAGCAGAATATAGATTTGTGTGTTTCTAAATATCTGTATACATTGATGTTTCCTTGAATAATGAGTATAAGAGGTTGTTCATAAACTACGTGGGCATTTTTTGAAAAATATTGGAACCTCTTCTACTCCCCGTATGTAAACAGTGCTTCATACACAATTATTTGAAAACTGAGAAAACCGTAGACACCGATCAAGGTAAATATTAGACATATCACTGAAATGACGGATAAAACATCAAAATAGAACTTTGCTTAGGTTGGCAGTAAAGGGCCAAAATCGTGAATAATATCTCAAATTGGATTCCCAATTCATAAAGAGGGGACGGTACCTAAAAATCGCGACGTATTAAGGCTTAATTATGCTCTAGACTTTAAACTCTAGGAACCACATTATAGTCAAATATGGTTATATATTTCGGTCCTAGAAATAGATTTTAATGTTTGTCGTAGAGTGTAATTAACCATACTGCACTAGCCTCCACCACGTTATACTGTGTTTCATGTTTACATGTGATCTCAAATTAACTTTACTTCAATGTGAACTATGCAAATTTGTTCTATATTCATGGATTTTTCCCCGAAAATCCAATCATGCCCCTCTTTAAAAATAAAATAATACTGACAACGTCAAACGAGCGGAAAGCTATTGTTTGCATTGAAAAGTTTTCGGAAATTTCCGCAACCACTCGGGGTTGTTGCTTTCAATTTGGTGGAAAAAGAAGTGAAAAAGCATACGCTTCCCTCACGCCCCCATCACGATGGGGATCATTATTATTATTACTGTCGATGAAGCGATGAGGATTGGAGCCCCAATCGAGTATTCCACCCTCAGTGAGGGGGAGTGGGAGCCGAAATGTGAACTCCTTGCACATTAAACGTAGAACTCATCAATTTTCATTTCATCGCTTTTCATCGATATGGCACAAGTGAAAATATGTGTGAAAGTACGAGCTGGCAGATGTCTGCTCTCTGTAAAAAAAAACGGCATTCCATTTCAATGTGTGCCATGTGCAGCGTTCCCCAATGGTCGATATCGATATCGATATTTATTATTTACATTGCAACCACTAATTGGAGTTTGGCAATAATATTGCCCCCCTCCCTCACATAAGCTATTCCGAAAATGATCTGTAACAATGTTCGAAGCCAATCGCTAGTGAGCAACTAAAAAAAAAACAATGATTCAAATCGCAGCCAACGAACACAGTTTAGGTAAAAAGTTGAAATCGCGAAAAATTGCAGTACAAATCAATGACCGTGCTTCTGATCGGAATACTATAGTAGAGATGAAGATGTTTTTAAATAAATCATTTCGTTCTAAGTTTTATTTCTATTGTAATTTTAACATACTCGGTGACCGTTTAGTTCGTAAGGATTTTTGTGCTTTAGGCTCCGTTTAGTACACGTTAGCGCCACAGACGTAGAGGAGAAACATTCTCCGAGTGCAGGGAAAGTTCTTGAATAACCTCCAAAGGCGGAATACAAATGAACATTATGAATAATATGTTTGACTTACGTAGAGTAAGATTTTAGTCGAGAATTTTTGCTGAAACAACTTATAAGCTGTCAAATCTTGATAAATTTTTGTAGTTTTTAGAAGGAGGACATACAAACTTTACTGTAAGAACCCATAGGTTTAAGTTTCAAGTAAAATCAAGTAACTATTCTCTATATGGTTCACGTTAGTATATGGGAATCACTTGCATACGAAATCCAATTTTAATCCAATCCAACTTGTAATGTATTTAATCACCCTATTCTATTGAATCAAACGTTGCAAAACCAATCTCGACACGTGGATATGTTAATCCAACATGAAGCCAATACACATAACCAACAAAATTAGATGTTACAACCCCAGTTGATTGACTGTAATGACATTACCAGACAGGAAAATTCGAAGAAATGAAAAACAAAACATTATTTGATGATCCAATTGTAATCAGAACCGTAACAATGAGTTAATAAAGATAGACATTGAGATAAGTCAAAAAGCTAGCAAAATGAACGCGTTTTTCGTTGTTACCAACTAACAAAAGCCTAGCAACTAAGTGTACTTTCAGCCACTCGTCAGCCTCTCGCCTGCACTGCAAACCAGGATCGTCGTCGACTTTCCCTACCACGCTCTACCAAGCCACCAAATAACCAAGACAAAACCACCTACCATTCCACCACGAAAAAAAGGAAAGGTTCGACCTTCTTTTCATTCGTCTTCTTTTTTCTCAAATCCATAATCCATCCAAATTGTCTAGAAATGTAAAATAATCCGAAAATCAAACCTTTAAATCTTTATTTCTTCTTCCAGCTTCCAGATCCAGCAAAATCCAGCAAACAAACAAAATCTCTTCTACCCTACCAATCAAATTCAACCGTAAAAAAAAAATCGAAAAAAATATCAATGCTTCTTCAAATACCCACCTCACCATATGTATATCACCAAATTACTAAGCATCTTTCCAGAAGTCCACATCAATCGTAACACCACCTATCACAGCCCTGAAAATCACCTCGACCTTCTTTGTCGCGCGCCCGTACACACAATATTCACCAACTACCACAACCACCACCACCACTACCACCAACCATGAACCATACCATCAACCAGCTAGAAAAAAAAATCCATCGACTGGTGGGCAACCCTGAGCAATCCTCCCGAACATCCGCAACCCTGCCCGTTATGCTCCCGGAGACGGAGTGGATCCGCACTAACCAATTTTTTTACCTGCATAACCACACCGATGTGCACAGTAATTATCCATCACGACCACCATTCCAGTAGAATCCCGGTTTGTTGTTAACTCCATGCCATGTACAGAAGCATTAAACCATCTTGAAATTGTACAAAATGCCAGCACATTTTTAGGAGTCGCAAATCACCAGTGAGTTCGTTTGTTTTATGGTTTAAGAGGCCGCGCATAATCCACGTTGACAATGATAAAAAGGAAATTTCCTAAATTTGAATCTCTAACGTTGTCATGTTGTCGAGGTGGTTTACGAGCGACCCCTATTGTGGTTTTAGTGCAAACTGTTGAAAGGACATTATTCGAAATCAGGTGTTTTTTAGCGTGGTTTTTTTTTGTAGGTCAACCCAAATTACCCATACAATTATTTCGCAATTTATAAGCACAATGTACGTACAATTTTCCCTTGGTGCTATCATAAAAATTCTCTTAACAATTCTTCGACGTGACAGTGTCCTTCAATTCCAGTAAAGTCGAAAGACATACTACACCAGAATAGTGCAAAATCTCATTCGGGTTTATGATCGGGGATTCGGGGTAATGATTTTCCTTGTATTCGGGGTACTAACATTGCAGCACAACCCTTGAACAGTTACAACTCTTTGAACTTTTTTGGAGATGCAAAACCACGATAATTATGTTGGTTTTGTATAACCCCTGTTATGTTTTTTACAGATGTAAATTGAGAATAAGGTATATTTGTATGGTACAAATACCCTATGGTGCCCGTTAACCGCTCACTTCAGAACAAAATTATGTTTACAACATAGTTGGAGATGCTTAACGCCATATATCAGACTTAATGTGGTCATTTTATACGATAGATGAGGAGATGAAAGTATAGAGTTGATAGTTCCGTTAGAGTACGGCAGAAAGCGAGCAAAGGTTAATTTTGAGGAAAGCACGAATCGAATTAATCATCTCCTTTACCAAACTTCCCTGTTGGGGAGGGATGGTGAGAGGTACCCGAGCAAAGTCTGAGATCAAATTGAAATTTTGTGATTTCGCTGATAATGATTACTCAGGTTGCTGTCGTTTTGATCGTTTTATCGGTTAAAATATCAAAATTGAGAGCACACACTTAATCTAGCTCGGTAAAATCTCCAACAGCCGATTACCTCGGCATTTATTTTTGCTGATATCTCTGCAAAATATCTGTTTGTTAGCTGATATCTCAGCAAAATGTTATTTGTTAGCTGAGTCTCGGCAGTTGTTTTACTGAATCTCAGCAAAATAAATTGCAGAATCACTCGGCTGTTGGAATCTCGGCGAAAAATTTTAAGTGTGCAAATAAATCTTCCTGCGACATCACATTGAAAACTATTTCTGCTATCAGTGAGAGCAAACTAAAAACTAAATTTGATATCCATTTTTCCTGTTGATAACAAAACAAGTATTGAATTTGATGTTATGCTAAGGCAATGAAAACAAACCCGCAACAACATATTTATGAAGAGCAAATGTAAAACAAAATGAAAACAAAATTTGGTATCAAATTTGTCAATTGCGCAAACTGAAATCAAATTATGATTAGTACTTGGAGTACTTGGCACTGATGAAGTCTGCAAGTAGTAGACGAAATACGCGTATATGTCAAAAGAGAAGCAATTATAACGGAATTAAACGGAAATTCTCGCATGTGATATATCTCGAGATCCTGACCAGATAGAAAGTTACTGTCTTTGACAAAGTTTTTCAGGAGGTCATAGCCTATTGCTTGGTACTCAATAGTCCAGAATTTGCGCACTACGCAACGCTAGTATACACGTGAAATTCTCATATAAAATATCTCGAGTTCCCAACCAGATAGAAAGGTACCGTCTTTGGCATAGTTGTTCAGGAGGTCAAGGCTTTTTCGTAGGTAGACAGTAGTTCAGAGTTTTCTTACTTTGCGGCGCTACTATACATATGAAACTCTTTATATAAAATATCTCTAGAACTTGACCAGATAGAAAGTAAATGTATTCGACAAAGTTTTTCAGGAAGTCAAGATCTTTTTTTTTTGGGTGACAATAGTTCAGAATTTTCTCACTATGCGGCGCTGAAATACGTGCCTTTCTCGCATATTCAATAGCTCGAGATCTTGATCAGCTAGAAAGTTGCTGGCCTCGGCAAAGTTGTTTAGGGGGTCAAGACTTTTTGGCTGGTAAACAGTAGTTAAGAATTTTCTCACAACGTGGCGTTAGTATACAGGTACACTTCTCGCATATGATATACCTCGAGATCCTGATCAGATTGAAAGTTACTGTCTACGACAAAGTTGTTCAGGAGGTCAAGGTCAGGCAAGGAAAATCATTTACATTCATTTCATACATTCATTAACATTCATTTGCCTCTAACTTTTTTCACAAAAGCATTCCGCAAAATGATGTACATAGCTTTTGTAGGCTTTGTTATTAGCTACAACTTTTGCTCATAACTCAAATCTGTATCTCTTATGCATCACGAACTAGAGCGGGCAGAACTTGTTACTGTTTTTCAGTGAATGTAAAATACATTCACTGAAAAAAAAAAGTAGTGGCTTCTGTTCGCTCTGGTTCGTCATGCATCAGAGATACGGATTTGACTTGTTAACAAAAGTTGTAGCTAATAACAAAACCTACAAAAGCTCTTTAAATCATTTTGCAGAATACTATTGATGAAAAAAGTTAGAGGCAAATGAATGTAAATGAATGCATGAAATGAATGCAAATGATTTTCCATGCCTGGTCAAGGTCTTTTGGCTGGTAGACAGTAGATCAGATTTTTTTCACTTCATGGTGCTAGTAAACATGTGAAATTCTCGCATATAAAATATCTCAAGTTCTTGACCAGAAAGAAAATTACTGTCGTCGGCAAAGTTGTTCAGGATATCACACAATTTTTGCTCGTGGACAGTTGTTCAAAATTTTATCACTACTAACGCTAGTGAAATGTGAAATTCTCGCCTGTGATATATCTCGAGATCCTGGCCAGATAGAAAGTTACTGTCTTGAACAAAGTTGTTAAGGGGGTTAAGAGTTTTTGGCTGGTGGACAGTAGCCTACAGTAGTACTCGTGTTACAAAAGTTGGCGCGAGTAACGGAGGGTTAAGTAAATGAATCTTTACCAGAAATATCCAGTGACGAAAAACACTGACAAGCAACCTTGGTCACTAGACTGATGCAAAATTTGAAATTTTTGCTCCACAGTGTTCAAACGGTTTCAAATCGGGTCCTGATTAGCCTCCGAAAGTTCAAACTCATTTGATAAGAAACTGACTTGGCACACACCATTTGAAGTTTATATGGAAATTACTATGGGAAAACAAAACTTTTTGTTCATTGTCTTCTAGCCTTTTTACATATTGTACTGTTAACCAATGCTATTGCTATTATTATGGGAATTTTTATCAGCTACAACTTTGCAGAAAATCATTTTTCAGCCAAACGTCAAATTAAATAGTTATTAATTGTTTAAGAGACTGATAATCTTATGGCAAGATTAAGGAACTGTATTGTGGGCAACACTGTATTCTGCACGCCATAAACACCAATGGTGCCTGCTGAACAGTTGATTGAGCATAATCATAAGACATCAGTGACTTGAATCATTCATAACTTTTGTTCCTAACATTTGATCGAAAAGTAGTCTTCAACAAAGTTGCAGCTGAGAAAATTCTCAACAAGCTCAGCTATCATTTTTTAAAGTAGAATAACCTGGTGAATTTTGAGATAGATATGAACCTAAATTATGGTTTCTCCATAGTAATTGCCACATAAACTTAAAATGGTTTGTGCAAAGTCAGTTTCTCACTAAATGAGTTCAAATTTTGGGAGGCTAATCAGGGCCCAATTTGGAACCGTTTGAGCACGGTGGAGCGAAAATTTCAAATTTTGCATCAGTCTGTTGGTCACATTGTAAAAAATTTCAAGTCGCTTGAACTGGACAAGATTTTCAGGATACATTCACTTTGATGAACTGAATTTCAAAAGAATTGTGAAAAGAATTTAGAATGAATGATTTTTTTTTGAAGGACTAGAACTCCGAATTTTTTGTTCACCAGAATTCACCGACTTCACCAGAGAGCCTTTAAGTAGTTCTTTTGGAAAATCCATGACGATTGCGAAAATGATTTCAGATTAATTTCTAATGAATATTTAACATACGTTCTCAGAAGAATTTCAAAATAATTGACCATTCCATGGAATTTCGTAGAGTTTTGAATTCATAAAAAAATCAAGTGAATTCTAAAAATGCAACTCTCTTTAGAATTCACTTGATTTTTTGAAATATTCCGATAAA